GCACCAGATCTCTGTATTTGGCTCTTCAAAAAGTGTGGTTGGTTCTGCACAAAGCCTTTACCACTATAATCAAAATAATTTGAGTAAAGAATCGAGTCTGAATCTGCATATAATTCATTTGAGGCGGTTCACGCATTCAAGAGTTTTCAAATGTCTTATAACGCCTATATAAGGCATGCGGCGTATCAACCAATGTCCCGTATCATGCGAATCGGATTATTTTTAATCAATGTTTCGAATATGGATCCGTCTGAACTTTCTCGGTCTTTTAGATTAAAATGTCCACTTCAGAACTTAACGAACTACCTACGAACAGTACGCTCAGCTACGGCACCATCCCCATAAACGGCGCATATCTTTTTTGCTCTTTGTACAGCTTTTGGTTTTTTTTTTCGTTTCCGGGAATAAAAGAGCAGCAGATGTCGAAAATTCATCACAAGTATCTTATAGAAAAACGAGTTGAAATACAACCTTTCAGAATAGGTATATATGCCAGACACGAGTAAGATTAAATCACCTGTTCAAACATCACCCTATTGATGAAACGCGTCAAATTTTTGTTCCAGCTCAATATTACTCGTGGGCGTAAATTTAGCTATATATTATACGAAGATGCATTGTTTTGTTGAGAAATTAGGGAAAAAAATTCTAAAAAATGTGAAACATATTTATAAATTTGGTGACATAAATTAAAAAGGAAAAATTATTTCTAATGAAAATAATTTTATCTTTATCGGCGAGATTAGGACAGTCTCTAAGAAGCTTGCAAAGAAATTAGAAAATATGAACATACAAAGAAAAATTGGAACTGTACCGACGTTAATATTATCAAAATCATACTGGGATACCGAGGAAGATCCTGGATTACTGAATAGACTTGCTGTCACTTAGTCTCAAGTAGAAACCACGAATTACTCCTAAAATACAACAAAATAATGAGAAGAAGAAAAAAAAAGGAAAAATACTTTATTTTTCGTATCGTTCTATTAAAAATATTTTACAGCTTTGCGTACAGACTCTCGTTCATATAAAAGGAGACTTTATTTTACGATTACCTACAGAGATCCCCCCACTACGCGCACTGCTACTCCGAGCGGCTGTACAGAGAAGGCTTGGCGGAAGACAGTAAATTCTTACATTCAAAGGAACGCCGTTGGATGTCGGTTGATTCCTTCGCAGAAAAACCGGCTACTTTGCCGCCTCCATTGATAACGTACCTTACCTCGTGAATATTCCAATCCAATCATTTTTATCCAGTACGAAAACATTTGTCCCCTAAAAATTTATATTTTATAGCCTCGCTTTCCGCGTTTAGGCGAATTCGCTAGCCTCGGAGATTCTTTTATTTCGATTGGTTGAATAGAAACATGATATACAGCCTCAAACCGATACGCAACAGTCACGATATAAAGAAGAAAACTTTATATACAGGGACTTTCGCTTACCTAAATTTACAGTTGACATATTTATTTACTTTTATAGAAATTAATACTTTTTTTTTTCTATCCGAGTCAAAATATTGCCACGGTGTTTTACCTATATATATTTTTTCAAATAAATTAAGGTTTCAATTAACGTAGACCAATATACATACATATGTTTAGGCGGGTCTAAATTGTACTAGGCGCTTTTTTTATTTTATTTTAGTTCCACCTTGTATTCTAAAGTTTACAGTAGATGTCTGTGTGTATGTATGTATGTAAATCATGCAGGCCCCTCTTTGGATTATAGGACGACTGTCCCACCCCATTAGACGTTGCTGCTATTGTTTCTGCAGCAAGTTGGTTTTTAAGGGGTGGAGTCGCTAAACCCACGTCCAACTATTTTATTATATATGAGAGATGCTCCAAAAATAATGCATCATGTTTCTTTCCACGGGAACTGCATTATCCTGTTTTGGTGTGTGTGTGTGTGTGTGTGTGTGTGTGTGAGAGAGAGAGAGAGAGAGAGAGAAGGAGCAGGTTTTCATTTTTTTTAAATCCTGAAGTTCACCGAATAAAAGCTTCGAGAGCCACTCAAGGTAGATTGTTACATCTTGTGTTGTGGTGTCCTCTCTATAAAGAGTTCATGTTGGACTCTTCTGCCTGCTATAAGATTAGTAGGAGAGAAGGCCGTGTGTGTGTAGGTTGGTCCAAAAATTTGTTCGTTTTTTTAGTTAAAATTTCTACTCAATATGTGATTGGACTTTTTGATATTTTCTGGATCTTGCTTCGTTCGGCTCTAGACAAAAAGGAGGAAATGAAATGAAAAATTGTTTATTCGAAGCTTTGACAGCAGAGAAGTTCGGCCTTCCAAAAACATTGTCTTTCATGCAACATCAACACGAAATACCTATCAGCAGGCAGGCAGGCAGTCTCAAAAAAAATATTTATCCCGTTAAATTGTGTTTGCAACGCAATAATATATATGTATTTCGCTGTTTCCTCAGCTTAGATAAAATGGACGACATGAGGAGAAAGAAGATTGTTTTTCCAAAGATCTGATAGCCTTCAAAAAACCTGGTCTTTCATCAGGCCAGCGAACTTTACACTTTTTTCCCGTTTTATTTGTTCAATTTTCTTTTTTTTTTTATCAAATCTTAATGCTACTCATTTCTTTTACATGAAATATACGTGACAATTTTGGAGCTTTATTTTGAAAATATCCTTTTTTTTTATTTTCGTTTTTAATTTAAAAAAATATTGTTCTTTGAGTTTCTATTTTGTTCTGTTTTCTTTCTTTGTTTTTTTTCATTTCGTTTTACTTATGGTTTTATTCATTTTCTTCTTTGTTTATTTTTACTGTTCTTCATTTTTTTTTATTCAATCTTTGTTAATTCTATTCTTTCTTTTATTCTCTCCTTATTTTTCATTATTTCCCTAGAGATTTCATTGGATTTCATCTCGGGTTTTTCTTTAGTTTCCAGATTCTGTCATAAATTTCTCACATAATTTTGATTTCCTCTCGGACTATCTTTTTCAACACTTTCTTGCTTTCTTTCATTCTTTTCTTTCTTTCTTTCTTTCTTTCTTTCTTTCTTTCTTCATATTAACCCCCCTTCTTTCTATTCGATGATTCTTTTTCTTTCTTTCTTTCTTTCTTTCTTTCTTTCTTTCTTTCTTTCTTTCTTTCTTTCTTTCTTCATATTAACCCCCTTCTTTCTATTCGATGATTCTCTTTCTTTCTTTCTTTCTTTCTTTCGTTGTTTCTTTTTTCTTTTTTTCTTTTGTTCGTTTTGTTTTTTTATCATGTATTATTTTTTCCTTTTTTTTTTATTTCTTTCTAAATGTTTCTGTATCCTTTTTTCTTTCTTTTAAATTTCTTTCTTTTTTTTCTTTCTTTCTTTCTTTCTAAATTTTTTTTTTTTCTCTGTCTTTTGTCTTCTTAAGTTTTCTATCAATTTTGATCTTCCCTTACTTTTACTTACGTTTCATCTGGTGACATTTCTTTGTCTTTTGCTTTCTTTAATTTTGCCTTCAGCCTCAGTTTTCTTTTATTCATTTTGTCCTTTTTATCTTTTTTTTTTCTATGATTCATCCTTTCTTTCTTTTTTTCTTTCTTTTCGATTCATCCTTTCCTTCTTTCTTTTCGATTCTTTTTTTCTTTCTTTCTTTCTTTTTCTTTTCTTTTTTCTTCTTTCCCTTTTTTTCTTTTTTCTTTTCGATTCATCCTTTCTTTCTTTCTTTCTTTCTTTTTCTTTCTTTCTTTCTTTCATATTAACCCTTTCTTTCTATTCGATTTTTTTCTTTCTTTCTTTCTTTCTTTCTTTTCTTCTTTCTTTCTTTCTTTTCTTTTCTTTGATTCTTTTAACTTTCTTTCTTTCGATTTTTCTTTCTTTCTTTCTTTTTTCTTTCTTTCTTTTTTCTTTCTTTCTTTCTTTTCGATTCTTTTCCTTCCGTCTTTTCTTTTCTTCATATTAGCACCCTTCTTTCTTTTCGATTCATTCTTTTTTTCTTTCTTTTTTTTTTCTTTCTTTCTTTCTTTCTTTCTATTCTTTCATTTTTTCTTTTCCTTTTATGCTTTCTTTTTTTCTTTTCGATTCATCCTTTCTTTCTTTCTTTCTTTCTTTCTTTCTTTTCGATTTCATTCTTTCTTTTTTTCTTTCTTTTCTTTCATTCTTTCTTTCATTCTTTTTTTTTTTTTCTTTTTTTTTCTTTTCTTTCTTTCTTTCTTTCTTTTCTTTTTCTTTCATTCATTCTTTTTTTCTTTCTTTTCTTTCTTTTCTTTCTTTTCTTTCTTTCTTTCTTCTTTCTTTCTTTTCTTTCTTTCTTCATATTAACCCCCTTCTTTCTATTCGATGATTCTTTTTCTTTTCTTTCTTTCTTTCTTTCTTTTTCTTTCTTTCTTTCTTTCTTTCTTTCTTTCTTTCTTCATATTAACCCCCTTCTTTCTATTCGATGATTCTTTTTCTTTCTTTCTTTCTTTCTTTTTCTTTCTTTTTTCTTTCTTTCTTTCTTTCTTTTCTTCATCCTTTCCCCCTCTTTCTTTTCGATGATTCTTTTCTTTCTTCTTCTTTCTTTGATTCTTTCTTTTCTTTCTTTTTCTTTCTTTTCTTTCTTATTCATCTTTTCTTCGATCTTTCTTTTTTTTCTTTCTTTCTTTCTTTCTTTTTTCTTTTTTCTTTTCGATTCATTTTCTTTCTTTCTTTTCTTTCTTTCTTTCTTCATATTAACCCCTTCTTTCTATTCGATGATTGTTTCTTTTTTCTTTCTTTCTTTCTTTCTTTCTTTCTTTCTTTCTTTTCGATTCATCCTTTCTTTCTTTCTTTCTTTCTTTCTTTCTTTTCGATTCTTTCTTTCTTTCTTTCTTTCTTTCTTCATATTAACCCCCCTTCTTTCTATTCGATGATTCTTTTTCTTTCTTTCTTTCTTTCTTTCTTTCTTTCTTTCTTTCTTCATATTAACCCCCCTTCTTTCTATTCGATGATTCTTTCTTTCTTTCTTTCTTTCTTTCTTTCTTTCTTTCTTTCTTTCTTTCTTTCTTTCTTTCTTCATATTAACCCCCTTCTTTCTATTCGATGATTCTTTTTCTTTCTTTCTTTCTTTCTTTCTTTCTTTCTTTCTTTCTTTCTTTCTTTCTTTTCGATTCATCCTTTCTTTCTTTCTTTCTTTCTTTCTTTCTTTCTTTCTTTCTTTCTTTCTTTTAACCTTCCTTCTTTCTTTCCGATGATTCTTTTTCTTTCTTTCTTACTTTGGTGTAATTTATATTAGTTTTTTTTTTGTTTATGACATTTCTTCTTTTCCTGACTTTGTTTTACTTTCCATGTTTTCTCTTAGAATTATAGCCGCCCCACGGATACCGCACTTACCCGTCTTTTTTTTTTGTTTCTTTCCCTCCCGTCCTTTTCCTCGTCCACTTCATAACTCATCCTCACCCCTTCACTCCTCCGATTCCCTCTGCCTTTTCCTTCTTCCTTGAATGCCTTCAAACAAACGGCGTCTTTTGTTTCTTTCAACCAACTGTCTCTCCTTCATGGATATCTTTGCCGACTTCGAAGCCAAAGAGTCAAAGATGATTCACGAAGTCTTCAATTGCAAACATTAACTGCTCGCCTTATTGGGCCGACCTTTGACTTTGGCAACTGGTCAGCCGAGAATTTCCGAGGCTCTACTGGATGACCTCTGCTCATCAGGGAAAAGTTTGATGCATTCCATTGTTCGGTCTTTGTAGTTACATTGGCTTTGTGACCCGGTCACTTTGACTTTAATGTCGGAATTCGTCACTGCCAGAATTCTATGGTTGTTCTTCAATTCGGAATTTGAGAAATAAAAGTGCTTTTAAATTAATTTAAGTCTGGGATTTTAGTCAAGAATGTTTTGTTATAAATTCGATAGTTGAGGGTTAAAGTGAAGCTGATTCCATCGTTTTACCTTTTCGAAATTCTCAGTTTTCTTTCTATCTACCTATCGATCTATCTATGTCAGTCTGTTCATTATCTATCTATCTATCTATCTATCTATCTATCTATCTATCTATCTATCTATCTATCTGACTTAAATCCTTATCTATCTATCTATCTATCTATCTATCTATCTATCTATCTATCTATCTATCTATCTATCTATCTATCTATCTCGGTCTGTTCGTAATCTATATATAGAACAATAAAGATGAAATTAAAAGTCAGAATGATTCATAGAATTGTGGCAAGGTTTGACGCCACAATTTCAAACAAAACCTATCGTCGAGTTAATTAAAAGCACGACAACTTATTTAAGCCACTCCACACGCTGTGAGTTCATTTTGTTTTTGTCACGATTGGTGATATCCCCAAATGGCCTCCTTGCATCAGCTCCGTCGTCGAAATGAAGCGTTAGATATTGGACTTCATTTGTAATTCGAACAGAGATTGATTTTACCCGGCAATAAAAACAAAAACGGGTCCTTATTCAACAGCCTTACTTAAATAGAAAAACTTCGTTTCTCTTCCGACGTTTAAGATTATCAATATTTCTCCTCGGACTTGGGAATGACAGGAGAAACAGAGACATATGCATATGAGGTGTGGGAAGAGAAGTTGTGAAGTGGAAGGAAGATGGGCGTGGTAGGGGCAGCAGCCATCGCAATCGGAACAGAGCGTGATGGCGGCGAGGAAAAATGTCAGAACCATTAACGAAGAAAATATGGCGTTTGTTTGAAGACAATTGACCTTGGTTAAGATCCTTTTTTCAAAATGGTGTTTAAAGAGTGGAAATTAACGAACATTATCTGGGATTCTCCGTTTTTACTCTTCAGAGTGTTTACAATGGAGATTGGTTTTTAATAGCTTGCCTACGAATAGATAGATAGATAGATAGATAGATAGATAGATAGATAATGACTACACTGAGATAGATAGCTAGATAGATAATAAATACACTGAGATAGATAGATAGATAGATAGATAGATGAATAGATATATATATATAGATGGATAGATAGATAGATAGATAGATAGATAGATAGATAATGAATACACTGATATATATATATAGCTAGATAATGAATCCACTGAGATATATAATGAGTATACTGATATATATATATATATATATATATATAAATATATACACACACATATATATATATATATATATATATATATATATATATATATATATATATATAGATAGATAAATAGATAGATAGATAGATAATGAATACACTAAGTGAGATAGATAGATAGATAGATAGATAGATAGATAGATAGATAGATATATATGATAATGAATCCATGAGATATAATGAGTATACTGATACACACACACACACACACACACACACACACACACACACACACACACATATATATATATATATATATATATATATATATATATATATAGATAGATAGATAATGAATACACTGAGATAGATAGATAGATAGATAGATGAATAGATAGATGGATAGATAATGAATCCACTGAGATATATAATGAGTATACATATATATATATATAAATATAAAAGTGAACATAGAAGTCAACACTTTTATATTTACACACGCTCTATCTCTGATATTGAGCACTTTATCCCATAAATATAGCACACCTTAAGACTATATTTCTTTATATATATATATATATATATATATATATATATATATATATATATAGAGAGAGAGAGAGAGAGAGAGAGAGAGAGAGAGATAGATAGATAAGGAATACATTGAGATAGATAGATAGATGATAGATAGATAGATAGATAATGAACAGACTGACATAGATAAATCGATAGGTAGATAGAAAGAAAGAAAACTGAGAATTTCGAAAAGGTAAAACGATGGAATCAGCTTCACTTTAACCCTCAACTATCGAATTTATAACCAAACATTCTTCACTAAAATCCCAAAAGAGAGAAAGAGAGAGAGAGAGAGAGAGAAAAGGGTTTTCTTGTGACGCATTTTTTCCTTTAGAACTTTATCGGACTAAATATGTTTATGTTTAAATATGTTTTATTTCATTTACAGTGTTTTTCCTTATGTTTTCATCACGTTTCTTACTAGATATCCCAAAGTGCGATAACAGATCTGCCAGGAATGTTGTAAGAGATTAGGCGCAAATCTACTGTGGTCTAGCGACGATGGCACTCTTTAAACATTTTAGTCGTCGTGAACTGTTTTCGCCTTTGATCAAATTAGTAGGAGCTGCAATAAATCTTTTCACAGTTTGGTGATATATTCCAATTATTCTGGATATTTCTAATGTAGATTTGCCTTTCGAAAGTTCAGATCTTTCTCAGAAGGGGTCACGTTACGTTTGCGATCCATAATTGTACGATTATAATGACACTCGTTAATAGTCTGGAACACTTCTATATCGTGTTAATATTGTAAATAGCCACCGTTTGTTTCCTGTTGCGCAGAACAATACAGTTTTTATACAATATGCGCATATACCTATTTCCATTATATGTTAACATTTCGTTAAATTCCGATTGGTTGATTGAATGAAAAAATGCCATCTCAATAATTTGAAACGCAGTATATATATATATATATATATATATATATATGTGTGTGTGTGTGTGTGTGTGTGTATAAGTGTGTATTTTTTAACTCAGTGGCCTGACGCCGTTATTGGCCGAATTTAGATTTGAAGTGACTACAATATTTGATCAAAGCGATTAATGATGTGCATTGGCAAAGGAGATTATGTTGAAAATTTCATTGTATAAAATGCATTTTTTTTCATCATGAGGCAACGTTAGGCATTCCTAAGAACTCAGCCACACGAGCACACACACACACACACACACACACACACACACACACACACACACACACACACACACACATATATATATATATATATATATATATATATATATATATATATAAAGTGAAAATATTTGTTTAAAAAATCGTAGTTAAATAAAACGTATTCTAACCTAAACACCCCCCAAAATCTCTAAGTATACAAATAGAAAAAAATGCCGTAAGAATTTTTGTCGTTAAGGATAAAATTTAAAAAAAAAATCCAGACGACATGCATTTAACGGATCTCAGAATTCGTTGAAAAATACATCCCTAAACAAAAACCCTTCTTCAAACGTAACTAATAACTGATACATCAAAATACAGCGATAATGAACTTGCAAACACCCCTTGTCTGGATGAATGGATTTCTCTGTATCCTTGGAAACGTGAATTATGAATTTTTGCTGTGCCGTTAAAACCCAGTAATTTTAAAAATAAGTTACTCCAAAATTCGCTTGAGGATGAAATGGAACTAATGTCTTTAATTTAATTACAAAATTAAATTCGCAGCTTTAAGCTTCCATTTTTGAAACATGGTTAGAACTGTGTAGCGAAAAAAACATATTTTAAATCAGTTAATTTATAATATTAATGCTCTGTAAATTTACATTGAGCACTATCTTGTAAAAATAAAAATATCTATAAGAACACCGGATTATATATCTTACTGTTCTTTCTTTATATATATATATATATATATATCATAATTTTCTAAAGAATTAATGAAATTTTTATTTATTACTCCAGCAGATTTTGATCACTTTAATGGTCATTTTCAGTGGATAACCCTATTTGAGTAGACGTTACGTTTATTTATTAAATATTATATTTATTTATTTTCGTCTGCTGGCCTGAATATACGAGAAATATTTGGGTACCTCGAAGCGGTGTAATGTTTAGCAAGCTTATCTCGCTAAAACAATTACGAGTGGTTAGTGAGTTCGATCCTCACTTGGTGCTCCCCTACTTTCAGCCTTGTGCCACATCTAAGCGACGCTGGGAAAATCACTATACGAGAAATCTTATTAAATAATAACATGCCGGTGAGCGCATATTTTTCAAACAAGATTTCGTCAATATTCGGGACAGATCCTTCTACTCGAATATGAGTATCGACTGAAAATAACATTTAAAGTGATAATATATATGTATATATAAATAAAGATCTGTGTGTCTGTCTACAAATACCCGCCTTAAAAAAATTGTTTCCAAGGATTTAAATGAATTAAAAGCATGCCATCTTTTTACATTAATTTCATTTTTGCTTCGAAACAATCTAGAGGA